ACGAGCAAACAGGAGGGATCGTGTTTGTCTTCAGTTTTAGCTAATAACTACATAGATCCATTGGAAGTTTGGATTTTTTAAGAGTCTCTCCAGGTTTCGAAACTATTGCTCAGATATATGGATGATTAATTTGCTATCTGGCAAAATGGCAAAGAGTGTTTGGATGACTTTCTTGTTTTAATGAATAGAGTGGATAAAGCGACTAAATTCACTATAGAGTTAGAAAAAGAGAGTGAGTTACCCATTTTAAATATATTAATTAGTAAAGAAGGAAGCAAACTTTGTAGAGATGTATATAGTAAACCCCAAAATGCTGGTTTCCTTCTTAGTTTCTTCTCTAACCATACTTATGCTGTTATGGTAGGTGTAATGAAATCAATGATAATAAAGGGTTTACGCCTAGCGATACTTTTCCTTTGTTATATAGAGAAAAAGTTAATCATTTCTTCTGGTTTCGAAGTCAGGGTGTGGATTGAAGGTAAATTCACTATTTTATCCTTATCATTTTTAGCAGTGGGTTAAATCAATGTAGAAATTGCATAATTTGCGCGAGTTGACTGGATCTTGTGCTGGCTTATGATCCCATGTTTAAATAATTTCTTAGTCATCAACTCCATGATCTTTGCATCTCATTTTCAGTCATCCTATAAAGTTCATGAAAATCTTCTTGAGGTAGGCTCCTGCCTAGATCTCACCTGAGTTTAGACTTAATATCTTTGACTCCTAGTAGTTTACTCCTCTTGGTATCATAGGTTTCCTCTTTTTTCTGGATGGAGACATGGCACATGATTTCATTTACGATGTACGAATGGCAATTCTTCACTAAATTGGAGAAACCAAGAGCTTTGTCATGACATTTGCATTAGTTAAAAGAGGCCAAATTACATGACTGACTTTAAATTGCCTTCTTTGTCCTGCCATAGTAAGTGTCTTGTTTGCCAACCCCTATTAGGTATTTTATCCGAAGGCATGAAGACCAAGATTATATAGCATAGCACTTTCCTATTGTTGTATAGAAAGTGATTATCCTTGCTTGTGCAATTTGGTCGTGTTGTCAAAACGACTTCGATGAACGCATCTTTTACAGTTCGCCCTGCCATGGTAGCCATTAATTTCCAGCCCCGAAGCATGAACTTAGTACATTCCCATATGTTTAGATGGGACCCTTATCTGCATTGAGTCTGAACGAATAATCCTAAGATAGCGTTGTTTAGATACTTTTCTAGTGATAATCAAGGGATCATGATAAACCCCAGATTTTGAATAGGGAAAATGCTATGGTAAGTTAGTACAACAGAGAAGATTCGGCGGGAGTGGGATTTAGACCCATGCCCGCATACGCGGACCTGATTGCTCGGAAAGTTAAGGTAATCCCTTGAGTCCTATACTTAAGACAAATGGGCATTCATGACCTGGCCAAAGCCAAGGATCTGGATCACCGCACACTTATATTCTGAAGTGTTCCTCGTCTAAGAAGCTTCCCTCGCCGATTTAAAAAAAACAATGCAATGTTACTTGCTTGTCAGTTGTTCCGTGCTACACATGTAAATCATGTATCTTCTCCCTAAGCTTCAGACTCGACCCAGTTATCCTCTTTTTCATCCCCACCTCATTCTTTCTCATCTTTTATGGCCCCGTGTCCGGCTTGATTCGGAATCGCTAGGAATGTACCGAGTCAACGGTCTAATGCTCGAAATCATTAATATTATAAAAGAGTATGCAGGGCTAGGTACGTTCCACAAGGTCTTCTTTTCGCTCCGAAAACGAAGTCAAACCAACACTAGAGTTAAAGAAGATTGACCAAACAAAAGACCACGCCTATTTCTCATTTATAAGTAGGTTTTCGGGCCTACCATTAAATCAGTTATATGAGACTTATTCACCCCGCCATCTTGGTCTTCATATCTACAATCTCCATTTGACATTACCTTGAACTCAACCTTGCATCTAAATTCACTCTTCAGGTCAATCCTCCTTTAACTCCGCGCCTCCTCTAGTCAACCATATTTCGACATCCCATTATCTTATTTCCAAACCCACTTCTCTGTCAATCACCTTCCCATCCACGGTTCCTTTATTGTGTCCTCCTGCTCCTTATTCAGTTACAATCTGTTTACTCTTCTTATTCTGTGCAACTTTTCAAATAAGCATATTTGTCTGTTCCGCCCGCGTCTTCTTTTACCTTCTGGCATAAGCGTGCCTTTCGCGACATCCTTGGGTACTTGGTCTGTCCCAACGTAGAGACGCAGACTGCCCTCCAACGCGCCATTAATCCGGTGCTACGTCGTCTCCTCCGCTTTGCCGGGGGGCTCTCCGGCCTTTGGGCCCTCAACCACTCCGGCCATTGCCTCCCAGGCCATTGTCCTAGACTCCAGGCCTCGGTGGCACTACAAGACTATCCATTAATGAAGCGAACCGTCTCGTCATCATGTACACATCCTTCACAATTGACGGCAGTGGAACTGGGTCGCTTTAAGTCTCGCCACACAGACGACGCTTCACTTGCAGCCAGAGTTTCCCCAGCCACTACAACCATCCCGAGAGAGGAAAATGGGACAGACAAAAGTAAGGGGGGACAAGAGGATGAGGATGAGAATCGAGTAAATGAGAGAAGAGAGGAAGAGGAAAGATATAAGGAGGAAAGAGAAGAAGAGGAAGAGGATTGGGAAGAGGCGAAAAAGATGGTGTTGGTGGAGGAAGAGGAGAATAATGCGGCAGGGAATGAAGGAGAGAAGGAGATTAACGAGAAGCGGACTGAGAAAGAAAAATCGGTAGTCTTGGTGCGAAGCCGTGAAACAGTTGTAGTGAGTGGAAGAGAACTTGACGATCTTCGTAGTCAGATCCATGTCACAATGGCCACTGGTGTTGGACGTAGTGGAAATGTGATTGTCAATGCGATTCAAAAGAAGACTGTCGCTAACGTGAGCCCGATTAAAGGCGTAACCTTGCATAAAGATAGGAGAAAGATTAGTGGCGCTGCCAATGATTGTTATGAAAATAAAGGACATGAATGCGATGAAGAATATATAGGGATGGTTAATGAAAATCGACTATTAATAATCGGTGAAGAATTAAAAGAAAAAGAAAAATGCAAGTGTGTAAAATACAAGAATGTATCTCGAAACGTGACTGATGATGCCGGACTTATCTTAGGATCGGATCGCACCGTGCACCGCCCTCGAGCATACCAAATAGACAGCGACAACCCACTCTTGCCAGAACTCCGCCAACTGCAACAGCCTGAAAATGTGAGCCTAGAGTTGCCGCCGCGTCCACGGCCACCACCGCCGGCTGACATCAAAATGAGGGCTGATCTTGCTCTGGCCGTACTGGTGGAATTGGCGAGAGGACAAACAGGTGCTTTGGCTGTTGGTCGAGAAGCAGGAGCAAGTGAGTGAACTTTTTCAAATATTTTGCTCCTTTTTTCTTTATTATTCAAATCAAAATAGCTCTCTAGGTTTTTCCTGAAGTAGAGTCGGTATGCCGACCAGCAAACGCCACTCCTTATTCATAGTCCATTCACATATCTGGACCTGATGTTATTTAATTTGACGTTTTCAGTTCCTCACCTGTCATAGTGATACAGTCTATGATTGTATAGATTTTCTACCAGCAGTGATTTTATTTATAAGCTCTCAGTAGATCTTATTTTGAGTCGATATGCATCACTGTTGGTTTGATTATATTGGGGCTAATAAATGAGTTCTGGACTGCTATATCGACTTAATTACTTTATTCTTTTACGAGGCCAGCACACCAACTTATCACCAATCATGCCCATCGGACCTTTTAATCACAATACTAAAACATAATACCACACCATAATCTGCAAAATTTAGACTTAGACTTCGCCTTGCTAGCGCTTTCCGTTCACAGAACCACCTATTGACCTGAGGGCCCTAGACGAATGGAGTGGAAATATTTTCATGTTTATGATTCCTCGTTGACACCCGAAGATATTGCCACCATTGCAATACTCATTATTCCCACCACTTTTTCCGTTCATCCCTGTACATTATCATATCTTATATATTATTTTCTCTGATCCAGCCGCTCACAGCCTACCTGTGAGTGGACCGCAACATTTGGCACGCTTTCTCCTCAGCTCACCAAAATTTCATCCAACTCACTTGATCGGTCGGCTGACGCTGTTAGACAAATTGATCATTCTGTCTCGCGAAGACTGGTGGCCTCGCAAGCCCCAGACCCCGCCACACCATCATTACCCGCATGAGGCGTCATCTGATCAAGATAGGCTAAGACACCTTCAGTCTCAACCCCCAACACAAGGCCAGAATAAATTAACTTCTGAATGGGACTGGCAGACTGGAAGCGAGAGCACTACCGAAATTACTCCCGAGACTACCTTCGATGGCAGTAGGGTAGCTGCTGTCCTCGACCAAAACGGCTGGCTTGGAACAAATGAGGCCGCTGGAAGATTGCGGTAAGCGTCGTTTTTGTTATATATATATATATATATA